GGGGGGGGGGGGGGGGTAGACTCGCGACAAGGGCACCCAGGGCACAACCAAAGGATCGACAAAGGGGGAGAAACCCATAAAATGGCAGCCCATTCGCAAGCCATGATAAAGGACCAATCGGGTGACAACAACCGCATCGACAAAATAAAGACACACCACCAGCGCCAACAAACACAACCACCTGCCTCCTGAACAAAAATACAAGTAATATGTTTACGGCTCATAAGTGCTAATTAACACCTGATCTCCTCCCTCATGAACCAACCGGAACCACGGTAATCTGTCAACACTTTACCTTACTGTACTGCCTACGGAATGGCGCCGTACCGTGTGCCACAAACAACACTCTTGCGGGAAGGAACAAGAACACAACTGGGAAAAGAGACACCTCAGCGGTGGCCCCCTCCCCCGCCATTCCAATCAAGATAACATTGAATGGGACGCCACGGCTTCTCGAAAACCGCAAAAGAACATGCGGGGACTTCGTTTTCCAAATGAGACCAACGTTCAATACACAAACATACCCCCCGTCGAAAGATGGAAAAATGTGAGGATTATCCACATGTTCAACAGAATCAATCCATCACGTTTTGCCTTTTACAGGACGCCGCTATCGATCACTTGCCCGACAAGCTCGATTCGGGCTTGCGACACACAGCTGCAGCACTGAACAACCTGGACCTCGTCTTTCGAAGTGCATGACCATGCAGAAGGGTGCCGAATTCTTCACAAAGAGTATGCTAAATGGCCGACGTCGATAGGTGACTTCGCGGCGTCTTCTTTCCACATTTTTCCGAACCCCGCTTAGTGTAATATACCAATCTGATAGATAAAGCAAACATTCCCCCCTTTTATGCATTTCCTCAGTCATTGTAAAAGGAATGAGAGATTCACACGGAAAGCGACAAGAAGGTCAACATGTACCTAGCGATACAACACACACACAAGATGCGGGAAAAGGCCGCCAACACCACACAGCAACCAACTCTCCGTCAACCACAACATCCCCTCGCATCAACTAACCTCAACCAACAGCGGAACCAAGGTAGGTCGGCAGGGCCTAGACTATCCTAACCTAGCGTTGCAGAGAAAACACGTACCAACATTCACTGCGGGCACTCAATGCTCACTCAACAATCCACCTAGCCTAAAAGGGAAGCACATAATCGTTGTCTTCACCTAGCTTGCCCAGTGATGAGGCTTCCTCTGCACCCTACGCGGCAAAGAGATTCAACCAACCTCGCCACACACGGCACACAGAGACACATGCGGAGGCCGCTCCGTCTCTTCCCATCCACCACTCCGACAACTCGAAAAGTCGAAAACACAGCGAGCGAGATCAGCTCCCACTTGGAGCGCCCATTCCCCAGTCACCGAGAGAGACCCGTTTCTCGTCTGTCTGCGCTCCTGAATTCAGACTGAGGCCACAATCAAACTTCCTACCAACACCAGGTGCCTTCGGCTCGACAAGCTCCCAAACCAACAACA